TGTTGAATATTATATCAAAATAAACCATCAGAATTCTTTTGGAGGAATTTTAAAAAAATATTAAGCAATGGACGGCGGATTGGGCTAATTATATACATCGTGGGGGGCTGAGTCTTACATTCTCTAAAGCACTCAAAACTCCGACAAGGGAACCGCAGAATTCGCAATTTGTCCTCACCTTGCAAAGCTTAAACTCACACAGTATATATCTACCGTCATCAACCCCATTAATATAACAATCTGTAAAGTTAATATCTGTTTACAACTCATCATCAATCTCTCCCATATCCTATGCACTTCAAAAAGTCAAGCATCATATGTTTTTGCCACTCTGCTCTATTTACAGCTATGGACATTCGTCACAGCCGTCGAAGTTTCGAAGTTGGTAGGCTGTTTCAAGAGCTTAGTTTAACCGTTGCTCATGTAACACTAATAAAACTCATGTAGTGGCGGATACATGAATTTTTTCTTACGGGGTAAGACGAAGCAAACATCCCACATGGTTTAGTTGCCCTTTGCTCTTAACCCTGCTCAGTCATACTCAAGGAGAACCTAATGGAATACTTGACAATTTCATGTAAGCAATAATGGGAGTGAAGGCTATTTCATACACGAATGGTGATCATATTATAACCTACATTATTGATCATATCGATTCTTGTCTTATCTAAATGCATGGTTTAAGCTTTAGTCTAACAACGGAAAAATGTATCTCAGAAAATAAGTCCGGTGAGAAAACGTGACCCGATTATCATACCAAGTCCTAATTTTGTATTCATAAAGATAAGACTTATGAAAACAAATGAGTAGAGAATTAGTCGACACATGACAAATATGATATAAAAATACAGTACAGAACAGATGGTTGTTCCCGTTTTGTTATGTCGACATAAAGTTTTACTTCATAAACCGATAAGATTCGAACAAGCAGCCAAATGCAAGCCCTCAAAACTCAAAAAGGGTTTTGAGGGTATGAGCAGTGAACACGCACCCAACTGTCTCTCACTAAGCTTTGAAGCCGAGTCTTGCGCTTGAGTTCCAAAGTCCCACGCGTCAGAAAGAGACTATTTTTTGTAATATTCTAATGAACACATCTGTTGGGACGAAAGTTCGATAAGGTCTTCGTTGTTGTTTGGAAAATTGCACCGGCCATTGCACGACCTTTGAAGAAACAAATAAAACCCTAAAAATTGTTTGGCGGGGAATAAAATCTATACAGACAAAATGGAACTCCCTAAACATCTGATTTTATTCCTTAATCACAGAAAAATAAAACTCTGTCTTCTCTCTCAATGCATTCATTCATTCGTCTCCTCGCACGATTTGAAGGGTTAAGGGTTTGCAATTTGTTTCTGGTATTTCTTCTGCGTACCCTTTCCTCCCTCATTAACAAATGCAAAGAATGACAACTACATCCTTCTCTTTTATGTGTGTGTGTATATATATATATATATATATATTTATTTATTTATATATAAACCAACCAACCACCAAATTAAACTAATTAAATACGGGAAAGGCCAATTCATTCTTTTTCCAGTTTCGATGGTTTTGTGTTAGGCTTGAGCCACGTGACTCTTCATCACCAATATTTGTTTATTTTTTATTTTTGTTGTTGCGAGGGAATAATAACATTGAAAACATGCATAGGGGATTAAAAGATTTTTGCTTGGTCGTACTGTTACGGACATATGCTTTTGGAGAAATAATTTTCCCTCTGTTTGTTTAAATTGAGGAAAAGAAATACGGGTGTAAACAAGTCGAGTCAAGCCGAATATCACCATATAAACTTGAAGAAGACTAAAATAAACGCATTACTTTGAATTTTTGGTTTAAGATAGAATTAATTTAAATTTATTTTTCAAAATGTGGGTCACTTCAAAGCAAATTTCTCATAAACGAGCTACTCACGAGCTTTAGGAGCTAAACACAGCTAAGTTCAAACTTAGCTGAACTTAACTTGTTTCTATTACGAGCTTAAACAAGTCAAATCCAATACGAACTCAAACTGCATCGAACCGATTTACAGCCCTAAGTACCATTATGTTGCCCAAGAACCACCGATATAATAGATCCATTTATTCCCTCTTATTTAATTCTTATCACAAAAGAATATATATATATATATATATATATACTAGCCTCTCCGCACGCGCTTCCGTGCTTGCGAGAGGTTTTTTTTTTTATTTTATTTATATTTTAAATTTTAAATTCATTTTAGAATGAAAAATAATAATGAGTAATTGTGTTCCATAAAAATATGATTCATTATCTAATTTTTCTTTTAATTCTAATTTTTTTAAATATGAAAAAGTATGAATTTACCATATTATCCACATTTAATTAATAATTTCAATTTTTATTGTTTGCATTAACCAAATGCATTTTCTGGTATTTTGAATGTTTCACCGTTCTCTTCCTTTTCCTTTCTATATATAGATATATATTGGCATGCATTGTAATCGATAAATACTAGTATATATTTTTCATACGTAGCCTATATATCCACATCTTTTTTATATATAAGATCAATCGAAGGTGGATACTGTCTATATATCGGATCCTGCGACGTGTAGGGTTTGAAAGACAAAAAAAGGCCCTAAACCAATATTGAACACCACGTTGCAGCACAGCATAGATGTACTGACCAAATTAACTAAGAAGTGCAACTCAGCAAATAACCCATCATTTTTTTATGCGATCTCAATTTTGCCAGAAGTAGGGATTTTTAATGTTCTGTTATCAATTGTTTATAAACATCATGTCATCATATCATATGCCAATTTTATTTTTTAAAAAGAAAATCTCGACGGTATAAGGGAAAACTTTATTTAACTAAGCAAACTAATACAATAAGGGAATGTCGATCCAATAAATGTTCCAAAAGGATGTCCTACACCAACGTACGCAAGGGCAACTCTGTCCAAGACAAACTATATCATCTATATGCAAAGCATATTGTGCTACCCTATATGAGCAGCTTCATTCGCTTCTCGAAAAGTATGTATGAACTTGTTTGCTGGAAATCTTTTTAGCAAAAGCTTTAACATCCTCCACAGTGCAGCCAATAAGACAGTAATCATATGCCAAATTTCAGATCAATCATGTCAGTCCAAAACAAAAATACTCGGATATATACACAAGTACTTCACTCATGTCGTGTTGTCTTTGTCTCTCCAATCCTTTTACTAAAAGAAACAAAAATAATTATTCAAACTAAACGTCTTATTCACATATGAAAAGTAAGCGTTTACTGTTGGGTTGACAAAATTGAAAGTCATAACAGAAGTTCTTGAGATTGTAATGTCAAACTAGCTTTAGCTTTTATATTTTGATTATCACTTCACAAATCAGATAATTAGCATTAGACCCCCTTTGCATAATAGAGAGTTAAGAGACCTGAGACTTGAACAAAAATTAATGTAGACACAACACAAACCCAACGCCTAACTTAACACAAGTAAGATGAAATAATTATTCTAAATTAAAAGATTCTTATGTTTGTAATAACTTTTCCCATATTATATAACACTTTGAAGTCAAAGACTTTATTGACTTTCTCCTTTGTTTTTTGCCAAGGACTTGCTCATATTTTAAAATGTATTGGTAGAATTATGGATGATATACCTATGAAAAATATTGATCTCTTTAGAGCATCTCTAACAGCTTAGTCATACCGTAATCGATCCTTAAAGCATCTCCAATCCATATTTCAAAGCTTTCCTTAATTTTTTTTTTTTTTTTAAAGGTACATTTTGCCATACATAATGATACTTTGGTGTTAATAGCCTGCTTCGGTTCTTTTACGAAACTTAAGTTTGCAACAGCTACAAACTTTGCCACTTCAATTATATATGTATGCTTTCTTTTTAACCTAAAAACCCAGCACAAATGAAAGGACTATAATGAAAACAGAATGCTTAATTATGAAGGCAGTGGTTACTCGGCAATTATATAGAAAAAAAACATTTGGTTGGTTGCAGTGCTAAAATTTTCATTCACGCAACTTATATAAAAATTGCCGTTGGAGATGCTTTTCCACATTTGGCTGAAAAATACCTTCTACCATCCAATTAGCCATTTTGGAGTCGACAAATCTGACTAGGAGTCTACGAGGAGAGAAGATAGCCACTATTTTCTCTCCTGAATTTGTTTTGCTTTTTATTTTTTTGTTCGAAATATTGTTTATGCTTTTGGTTAAAGAAAAAGAGAAATATGTCGCGATAATTAAAAGAGAAAATACTCCTCCTCAGTTTTAAGGAGTCAAACTTTTTCCTTTTAAAAGTATTAAATTTTGGCCAACCATACTCTCAAAAGTTAGCCCCAATCTCTTGGTCACCATCCAACGGTTCAAAAAAATTTCTTAAAAAGAGTGCAATAGTGAGTGAACAATTGAATTTACATCTAACGGTGAGTGACCACAAATCTCTTAAACCCCTGTAGTCCAAAAGATCGGGACTGTTCTGATCAGTACCAAACATTAAAAATATTGTTTCATGGAAAGCAAGAAATATTTTCATTGGTTTGTATAATTAAAATTTAAAATTTAAAAGGGAACGAAGGGACCAGTTCCAATTTCTTGGTCAGACAGAATGTTAGGAAAAACAATATTCTAACGTGGGGATGGTTGACTATTATACATCATACAAAATATATACCTAAATTAAACACATGAGGTGTTCAGTCAGACCAAAAACGAAGACACATGAGGTGGCTTCAGTTTTTCCAAACATCAAACTGCGTAGTGTTGTACTTCATTAAATTATGATATAAATGCAGCAAAAGAGTGCCCTAATCTTCGTGTTATTCTTTTGGGTCGAACGTTTTAATCTTTGTTTCATCTATGAAGTTTCTTGGTCTTTATATCCCCTATTTTATGATTTGCCCAATTTAATTTGCATTGCTAATGTACATTAAGAACATGAAAACTCAGGGCAAAAGAATAAATAAATAAAATAAAAAAACAGAGAGCATTTGGGAAGAACGGAGGGGGTGAGATGAGAGATAATTGAGATCATTTTACTTCGGTGACTTGATGTTCAAATCATAAGGGAAAATAGAAAAGCAACAAATTATTTATTCTTAGTACATATAACATACATCTACCAAGTTTCTTTTCATCTCTTCAATCATCGAATGTAAACAAACACTTCATAATCAACAACCATAGGCCCCTGCTAACAATAAAGTTGTTGTCTTTGAAATCTGCAGCTCGAAAAACCAGGAACTCAAACGACAAAGAACTTTACGTCCAACAACAGAACCATGCTCATGCGTCTCCATTAACTAGAACAAATAATGGTTTGTCCCCCAATCGCTCCCGTCCCTGAAACAAGCCACCGTAAAAGTACATCAGGAATGCTTTAATGAAAAAACTAAACATAATAAGAAAAATATACATCCAGGTTAAGATTTCTTGACTCTACATTGTGCAAGACAATAGCACGAAGAACGTGACGTTTCAATAACTATGCAAGCGAAAAATATTTTATCTTTAAAATCTTCTGCTTCATATATAATTATTAATTCGTCTGCAACTAAATGCTCGATAGTAGGGAAGCATCAAATTAGCCTACAACTAATCTAAGGGTGTTTCTGGCACCATATTTGCAATGTCATACATACCTTTAGCCCTGGCAATTCAATCACACAGGCACACTCAACCACATGCACTCCAACACGCTCTGCAACAACAAACCAAAAACGTGAGTCTTGCAAGCAAGAAGGGTCATCTGGATTCTCGGCCAAAATGGGAACAAATATGAAAAAAAAAAGGGAGTTTCACTAAAACATCCAAAATGGGGGTTGAAATTATAAAAAAAACCCAAGCACTATTTGAACATATAAACACACCCAAAACCCATCATTACACACACTCAAAACCCATTTATAAACACACCCAAAAAGTTGACTTTGGGGTTGATTTTGGGTGTGTTTCTATGTTTAAATAGTGCTTGGGTTTTTTTATAAATACATGTCTAGGATTGAGTTTATTTATAAATTTGTATAAAAAAAAACAGAAAACATTATTCTGTCCAGAAACACTTAAACATAAATTTATGTTTTGATATACTACCAAGAAGCCTGAGTGCAGCACCCAAGGTTCCCCCTGTTGCAATGAGGTCATCTATGATCAAGGCACGCTCTCCCGCTTCTACAGCTCCCACGTGCATCTCCATTATATCTGTTCCATACTCCAAAGAGTACTCTTCAGAAATAACCTTCCCTGCAGAACCATCAAAACACGAGAATTATAAGACATCTTGGGAACTATATTTATTGAAAGCACCAGATATTTGCTGTGTATATAAAATGTAAAATAAACTTAGCACATTAAGAATCATAATGTTTATGCTTTCTATCACAAATGGCAGTTAAGAAAGGCCACAAGCTACAATATCAATACTTACGCATGCAAAGAAGCAATCTTTCTGATGGAATAAAGATATCTAACCCAGCTCTTGAGATTTATTTGTTGCGTTATTTTCAAACCAAGAATAACCTAGTTTTGGCGTCTATGTATTTTGTTATCAGGTGAACTTTCACTCCTTTCTACAATTTCCTACTGAGAAGATTACTTCAAGAGTGATGCAGAATTACTATAACCACTCATTTCCTGTTACTCATTTCTCAACAGAACTGGCAATAGCACTATCTCCAACGTATGGCTTTAAAAATTTTAAATAAATAAATAATTCTTTTATAAAAAATACGGTAACTGGATCAGTTCAACATATTGCATTATAACGTAAGATTTATAGATGATTAAGCCAGCCTGTGAGTTAAATAACATTTATATTGTAAAATACATTGACAGAGATGATTTAATGAGCTACAGTGAAAATTAAATTATCCCGTTGTCCCAATAACTAATCAAGGATTCCTCCTATGGAGAAACTTCTAAAAGCTCATAAATTTATGCAGTTTAAGTGGAGAATGAAAAGGGAAAAGGTGTCAACTGTTACCGGGCAACTTATTCGGTTTTCTCATAGGCACAAATTTTGCCCCAATGGCCAATGCAATAGGAGGGCCAAATATAAAGCCTCTAGCTTCAACACCTGCATTATGTCATCAACAGAACTTCAGATCATAAACATCAACCAGCATTCGGTATATGCATAAAATAAACAGCCACTGAAACAGAAAGAACCGCCTAAACTATGATTTTGGGACAACTCCCATGCCAGAATGCTAAAGACTTGGGCTTTGGATATGGTTTCATTTCAAACCCAACTAAATTTTCTAAAAATGAAATAAAAAATCATATAAACTAGCCATAGTGAAAGAGTACGTTTTGAATTACCTGCAACAACAGAGATTTCTTTGTCTTTGTACCTCTCAACAAACAAATCAATGGTATCCTTGAAAGCCTTGGTATCGAGAAGCAACGTTGTTATATCTTGGAACAAAATCCCTGCCATAAAAAGGCTCAGTTAAGCATAACTCACCCGTGTTCTTAAACTCAAAGAAGCCTCCATTCAAGTATAGCGATCAAGTAAAAGCCAAAATCACCCAGTACCCAGATGAAAAATTGGACCAATAGCAAGTTCAAATCCCAAAAAAGATCAAACCCATCAAAGGATAGACAAGTGTACATACTTATCAGAAAACAAAAACTAAGATGTTGAAAATCAATGCAAAAATTGAACAATAAGCAGCATGTACCTGGCTTGGGGAAGTCCGGTATGACTCTGATAGCAGATGAAATTCTAGCAAGACGAGGGTCCTTACCATCTTCCGCAGCCATTGCTCGAACTTGCACTGATTTACTCTTACTCACTAACCACACACAACGGAAAGGGAGCGGCTCAGAAGTTATAGTCACTAATGCACTGTTGTTTTTTGTTTTATATGAGAAGAATAAAAATACCCTCCCACCAACCGCGTAAAATCATTATTGACCAAATTGCCCACTGCTCAAAACTTTTCGAGGATTTTATTTCACAGAAGGAAAAAAAAGACATTTGTATTTCTTCATTGCCAATTAAGACGTTTTAAATGTTAGAGATCTACATCACGAAAGGAAAAAGATCAATTATTAATGAACAGAATCAAGGGTGAGGACTTTACAGGGTTTAGAGCTTTACCGGAGGAGCGCGGGGAAGTGAGGGCAGATCGGTAATTTGGGAAGCGAATGAAGGACGGCGCGGCAGAGGAAGGGGACTTGTTAAACGAAGCTGCGGGACTGCGAGAGGTGACGGCGGGTGAGAAAGCGAAGGAATTTGAGGAGAAACGAAAAGAGGTGCGTAGTGGGATCATAATAACATAACATGGGCCACTCCTCCACTTTATAAAGCCACCCACCGAGAGTCGCACTGAGACTCTCTCTCTCTCTCTCTCTCTCTCTCTCTCTCTCAGCCAAAACAAAATTATGGAAACTGAAAATCGCAAAATTGACTTAAATGGTCAGTCATATCAGATGGGCATTTTGGTCCTACTAGTTCAACTTGGCGATCCACCAACCCAACCATGTATAAGTGGAACTATAAGTCAGATAATTAAAATTAAAATGGTACTGTGTTTTCTTCATTTTCATTTTCATCTTCCTTTTTCTTGTGAATTTAATTTTGAAGGGATAAAATAGAATCCAAGTCTAACGGAGGATAGCTAATAAGCGTGCGATTGTTAGCAGCCAATGAGGTGGGCGGTGGGAAAGGCATACTACCATTACCATGTTTTGCTTCGAATCTGTGAGCTGGAAAAGAGGAGCAAAACTGGATCACATTTACACCACTTTTCTGAACCTTTTTTATATAATATATTACTTACATTTTTTTGGGTAAACCTCATGATTCATGCTGCTGGATAACCCTTTTTCTCAAAAAAAATAAAATAAAATTAGGATAGAGTGTGTGCATTGGTTGTGATGGAGAAAGTTAAGGTGTCACAATAAGAAGATATTCTAACGTTATGTTAACGTTGATGTGGGAGTACATATTTCATTTTATGTTGAAGTTTGATTTTTGGGTTGTTGCATGTTTCACACGCTAAAATCATGCTCTTTTTTTTCTTTTGTTACGTGATACATCGTTACTAAAATTATCCTATTTCACGCATAATGTGTGACGTGAAGTGTTAGTATTGTAGATTAAAAAAACAATGGGTAATCATACATTGTGCTCAAACTTAACGCAAATTGGATGGAACTTGAAAAACTTGACAGTACCGATGTTTAGATTTAGTCATTCTTTCTACCCACCGTACCAATGTTTGATTGTTCTGTTATCGGAGCTTGAAATTTCAATTACATGGGCCTTGGGTTGGGCTTATGACAACTGGGTTTCTTTAAAAAAAAAAAATGATCCACCCAATAGGTGAGTTTACTATTCAGAACCAACGTCAGCAAATTTTGGACTCAATTGTAAAACACAACAACATTGCAATTTTGCAACTTTGGCTGAGGTCACCCACCACCAGGCAACTACCCAGTTGGGTCCCACTGACGTAAAGCAAGTATTGTCCAATGTATGCCGCCTTTGCAACAATACAATTAACCAACATCGCCTCTCTCAATCTAAACACAGTCAACATGTCCAAAACGGCCCCCCTTCCTAACTTCTTCCAAATGTAAACCCCGTGTCACAAACTTCCAATCCAAGTCCAACCACACCAAGACTATTCTCATCCTATTATTTTCACTTATTTATTTATCCATTTGCTTCTTTAAATAATTGCAAACAGAGACGTAGCTCAAAAATAAAAAATAAAGTCACATGTTTTTCATTTTGTATTTAGCTTTCTTATTATTAGGGGGAAGTATCTTTGGGGCTGCTTCAAAATCACTTGTTTTTCTCATTTGAACAATTAAAAAGTCGTGTGTGTTCTTTATGGATGGCTGATTAATTAGAGAATTAGCACCCGCTTTCGGATGCGTGATCAACTAACCGACATCTAAGGTAAGCGATGACTTCACTACGTGCCGACCTTTTTTACCTTGCGAGTTCTACCCATTCACTCTACACTTCTCTTGCATTTCATCATGCCTAGCTCAGTCCACCACTTGTTCATCTTCTTATCTGGCTTAGAAAATTAAAAAATGATTAATAATATTCTTAACTAGTTGCTAAATGCAAATGGCATCTACTTTTTTGGGCGTCACTGTATGCATACGTGCTACATGATGGTAGCCTACCAACATTCCAATTTCAATAACTGCCTTCGTTGCTTTCCCATGTCCCTTTTCTTCTTCTTAGCCAAAAAGCAAATTCTTCATCAAAAATTTCTAAATTTATTTTGTTTGAGTACAAGCGATAGTCTAAACTACTGGAGATTGGGATTTCTCACACAAACACACATAATTATGATGTCGTGAATATTCGAATATAAAACTTATAGTCTACAAGTCAATACCCTCTTTCATTTAGCTAGGGCCGTTGATATTTTGAAATTAATTACGGCAAAATGTAGATAAATTCAAAAGGGTAGGGCTCAGTACAGCGGAGTGTGGTTTCTTAATTTCAGTGGGCAAAAGCCAAAAGGCAGCAATGGGGCTTTTGGCTTTAGGCCATATGGCAGCTCCTTGTCCTTTAGAACTGAGGTGGAGTGTGGGATTTGAATCCTAGACACTTCCACGTAAAATTCTTAGGGGATAAGGCATCCATTTCTTTCAAGGAACAAAAGCCGCCCCTTTTTATGTTTTATTTTGACACTCTCATCTCATTCAAAAATATCTCTGTGCATGGTTGTTATAATTTACAAATGATAATGAAATTAACGCACGATATTAAAAATTTAAACTTGTGTTGTTATGTGGGGTGGGGGGTTAAAATTTGTTTTAAAAAATATCTTATTAGTGAAGATAGAATAGAAGCAGCATGTCAGCATATAAACAATGAGTCGGCGGTGCACGTGTCACTAACCCAGATGCTTCGCATATGTTCCGTGTTACTTTCTAGCAACAAAAGCCTTCTTTCTGAATGGAGAAGAGTCAAACAACAGATAAGAGCAGAGAAACACAAAACAAATTGAACAACAGTGCTTAATCACACGCTGACGTGGTACTGAACTCCTAATCACTGGGTCTTTCTAGAAGTACGCGTGTTGTGCAAACAGAGTTGTTATATTCCGAGTGGTTAAGGAGATTATGGGTGCAAAAACGTGTGCACGTTAGGTAAAACGAGTGGATTTTGTGATGGGAAATATTCAATTATGTTTGTAATTATCTCCTGTTTGTGTGATCGGAAAGCATAACGGGTGGTGTTCAAAATCAGAAGCTAAATTAAGTAGTGTGATTTGGGATATTTTATGGTAATCTGATTGGGGAACCCAATTAAGGGCAAAGACTTGCAAATGGTGTGCCTAAAATTAGGCTGCACAAAAAGACCCCACAAGCCCTGTCCACCACTCGTTAAGCACAGTTAGTCTCCACCACCAACCCATGTGATTAGGCCCTTAATCACTCCAAATTAAGTCGGGACTTGTGAGACGGTGTGTGATTTGATTGAGATTTGTTGTTTAAAAGTTGCCAACCCTAACTGGACAACAAACTCTCCCCAAACTGTACAGCCAGCGTGTGATTAAAGGTCGGTCCAGATCCAAAGAACAAGGAAAAGTCGCAAACACGAGACGACGCCGTTTGATTGGTAAATTGAGGTGGACCGGACCGCGTCTGTGTGGAATTTCCCAAGGGGTGTGCATTATGCATAGCTATTGACTTTGAAACCGTCTTTGGAAAAAGGGCCCGCTCGGTCTTTGTAGTTAAAAAGTTAAAAACGTCCATGCCCATTTGTGGGCCCACATAGAGGCACCAGTAAGTTATTCCACTCTTTGACCGACTTCAGTCCTCCTTGGCCACCAAGCAAGAAAACTCCATCTCTCCAAAGTTAAAGAAACGTGGTAATTTCGTATCCCTCAAGTCTCTTTTTCATTTTACCAAATAAAATAAATAAGAATTGAATATGCGGACACTTGGTCCACACACTACTACTTTCCCACCACTTGTCACGCAACTTCGCTCTCCTCATCGGCCCTTTATAAACCCCTTTCCCTCATTCTCACTCTCACTCA